GCTCCAAAAAGGTCACATACATTATCTTAATTAACCCTCATAACAATCCTATGAAAGCTTATCCTCATTTTGCAGAGTAGTTAACAAGCCCCAAAAATCACATGGCTAGGAAGTAGCAAAAAAGTTATTCCAACTTGGATAGTCTGGTTGCAGGGCCCATGCTTTTAACCACTCTGCTGTAACATTATCTATTAAAATTAAATATGTACATGTTGCATGATACAGCAATTCTACTTCCTGTCACTTTTCCTTGTACCTGTGTACAAGTCAACCTGTATAAGACCCTTCATTGCAGAACCATTCATAATATTGATAAACCGACACAACATAACAAGGAAATAAGTTGAAAGTTGTACATTACATGATGCCATTTATATTAACATTTTAGACTTCTTTAGGTATACGTACCTATGTAAATACATAAGAATAGTCACCAAATGGGTAACCTCTTGGGAAGTGACCAAGAAAGAAGGTGCTTGGTTCAGAAGTATTTAAGCACTGACTATAATGTTGAAAGTTTTAAAAATGAGACTGTATTTGTATATTACTCATTCAATTAAAAATAAATATTTTTAATCCCTCCTTAACAAAAAACTCAATGAGAAACTGCAAAGGGTTAAACTTGAAGAATATCCTATGAGCTTAGCACCAGCTGTGCAATAGTGGCAGAGGAAATATATCTGAAGCTAAAAAAGGAGAACTAGAACATCATAAAACATAGATAGGACCATTATTCTTCAAATGAATCATACATACAGAATGGCTCCAAGGTACTGAGGGAGTAACATATCAGTAAATAAGAATCTGAGTATACTTCAAATATCTTTTTTGTTTGTTTGTTTACAATTTTGTCAATTATAGCTCAGTAAAGCTGAAAAAAAAGTAAGGGTTTGACTTCCATTCTCACATTAATAGAAACTGGGTATAAAAAACCTTGTAGAGTCATTTCATTGAAGTTGGTAATGGAAGAGAGGGAGAATAGGCATTCCTTTTACTCAAAACTTTTAATATAAGCCCCAAACAAACAGCATGGAATAGTCATTATTAGAGGAAAGCAGAGCCCTCCAGTGGAGGAAAAAGCCTACTTGGCCTCAGAAGACCTGGTTTCGATTCCTGGCCTCCCCTCACTGGGCTGCACGCTAGACACATAGAATTTTAAACCTAGAAGAGTTCTTAGAGACCACAGAGGTTTCTTACTTTATAGATGAGGAAATGGAGACAGAGGCAAAAGTGGGTTGCTCAAGATCTCCTGGTGGCAGGAGAGCCCAGACTAGCATCCCTGATCACTACAGTCTCATGGAGGAACCTCCATTCATGAGTGAGAATGGAGCCATCGGGATGCTGGTCCACACCATGGATAGCTGTAATGGCAGACCACTATATAAGGCACTCTAATCTATGCAGAGAAGATTTTAAGCTCAAGCGTCTTATTAAGCAAAGCCTACTCTTGAAAGAGACACAGGAGAACCAAAGCACATACATTTGTTCATTCATGAATTCTTATATTCTTAAAATAAAATACTTTCTGTGTATTTATTGGACACCATGAGTATGATACAGTGATGGGCTCTTTCAGAGATTAGAAATAAATTGCCTTCTCAAGAATTAAATCCAGTGAGTAGAATATTCTAATTTCAAATGTCTCCAAGCTACAATTATAGAAACAACTACAAAAAAATATTTTAAGGTGAAACTGAATTATGTCCGCCTCAGTGAAATCTAAATTTCTCTAAGTATAATTTCTGTTAACTTAATATTGAAGAACACAGGTTTTCCCAACTGACTTCTCTACTTACACACATTGTTATGGGGAGGAAAGGAAGTTGCCACATTTGCAATAATACTTCATTTCCATTTCAAGATGGACTAAGATTTCATACCTAGCAGAGTAGCTCCCTCACTGTGATCTACTGAAAGTCACCCCTCCACACAAGGGTTTGTAAACATGTAAACATAAAAATAAAGCAACACAACATGGAATAAAACAGGAAAAAAAAAAGAATTAAATCCAGTGAGAGTATGTGGCTGTGTCTCCCCTGAAATATTAGCAATATATAAGCAATGTATAAATAGCAAAAATATAAGAAGGATAATATATCATAACCACATGGGGTTAATTTCAGAAATAATACAAGGTTGGTTTAACATTTGAAAGTGAATCAATATGATTTACAACAATTTAACATAATAAAGGAAGAAAAAGAGATCATCATCACATGAGGTACAGAAAAAGTACTTGACAAAATTCAAAAACCTATTCATGTTGAAACCTCTCAGGATACTGGAAACAGAAGGGAGCTTCCTGAGTGCGAAAAAGGACATCTATGACAGGCCTAGAGCTAACATATTTAATGGTGAAGCACTGAACACTTTAACCCAACATCAGGAACAGCACAAAGATTTCCATCTTACTACATCTATTTAAGAGTGTACTGAAGTTCTAGACAGTGCAAGAGGGAGAAAAAAAAAGAGTGGAAAGGAGAATTATCATTACTCATGGACAATATCTCATGTATAAGGTGAGAAAGTCCTGTGGAATTAATAAAATTAATAAATGAATTAGCAAAGTCATAGGATACAATGTCAATATATAAAAATCAATTGTATTTCTGAATAGTAATAAAATTAGAAAGTTGTCATTAAAAACAGTATAAAAATAAAATACTTAGAAATAAATATAGCAAAACATGTATAGTTAAACAGTAAAAACCATACAAAATTGTTGAAATTAAAAAAAATTTAAGAGAGATTATAAGTTGTTCATTTTCCCCAAATTGATACAGATTCAAAGCAATACCCATCAAAATACTAGTAGAATTCCTAAAAAATTGCCAAATTGATCATAAATTTTTGTCAAAATGCACGTGATTTAGAATAATCAAAACAATCTTGAAAAATAAAAATGTTTGAGGACTCACGTCTGAACTCAAGATATACTATGAAGATATAGAAACAAGAAAATATACTGTTGTAAGGATAAACAAGTAGATAAATGGAACAGAAAAGAGTCTAGAAATAAGCCTATACAAACATTTTTAATTGCTTTTCAACAAAGGCACCAAAGCAATCTAATATGGAACAAAAAAGGTTAAAGTTTTTAACAAGTGGCACTGAAACAGCTAGATATCTGTATAAAAAATAATTTCAAATCTTACCTCATTGAATAAACAAAAATTCATTTGATATGGATTATAGGCTGAAATATAAAATGTGACCTCTTAAAGCTTCTAGAAGAAAACAGGGGAGTATTTCTGTGACTTTGGAAAAGGCAAATATTTCTTAGATAAGATACAAAATGCAATCTTCTTTTTTTTTAACATATAATGTATTATTTGTTTCAGAGGTACAGGGACGATGTTTCTTTTATTCTCTCTTTCTTTCCTTTCCTCCCTATCTTCCTCTCCCTCTCTCTCTCTTTCTCTTTCTTTTTTCTTCTACTTCTTTTGAATTTTTGAGCTGGAAGAGCTTTATTTGAAGAACACAATTCCACTCAAACCAAAAATTTAAATTCTGTATGCTCAAAGTGCGACAAACACATCCAAATGCTTGTCTATCAGACTTTTCTCCTTGGGCCTGGACAAGCCCACAAAAGCTGTCCTTTTGATCAGCAACCCAATGAAAAGGCAGGATTAGGAGAAACTAGCTTTTGTTTCATGTCAGTGCATTTCTTATTAGCCTCTTTCTGGGTTTTAGTTTCCAATATTCAAGAGGATCTCAGTAGGCCTGATCTCAATTGATCCATTTCACAGTTTTTGAATTTTTCTTCTCTGGTCCCCAAGATACACACCTCTCTATTGATTAACAAGGTCTCATGATTTCCTAGTTAGACAAAGATTGGCCTATGTGACAGCTAGGACACTTGGTTCTGCATCTAGTTCTTTACCACCACAGCGGTACTAGGCTTGTGTGCCCACTGAGTTTGGATCCAATGAGCTGATATAAAAAGGACAAACACCTAAGACTGTCCATCTGCCATTTCTAGGCACAAGTAATATTTTTGGCTCTTGACTTGCCAATAACTGCAGCATCTTTCACAGCACTCTGATTATAAAGTTGACTCTGCCTTTGTTTCAGGAAGGTGCTATAGGTGTTTGAAAAGGATGTCTTCCCTCCTGCAGCTCTTCTTTCTTTTCCAAGACTTGGGTTGGTTTCAAAATCATCATTTTCATTGTCCAGCTAACACTCAGTTGCACAATTAGATAAATAATGAATTCCTGAATTTCTGTTTTGATCTGAATAGGCATTTATTCTCCCAATTGTGGCTTGTGAGGGTGTGTGTGTGTGTGTGTGTGTGAGAGAGAGAGAGAGAGAGAGAGAGAATATTGCAACCATTTAATTTTGAAGAATTTGTTTGGGCCTCTTTTGATAGGGTCTCCACTTTCAGACTCTGCTTAGTTAAATCTATCATCATGTATCTAGCAATATTTGTCATCATTATCCCTGCAGCCAAGCCTGATCTTTTCTAATAAACAGATATTGAGTTCATATAAAATAAAATTTATTATACATTTCTTCCTGCCCTTGGTCTCATATATCTGCTTTTCCCTGCATCCTCCTCTGACTGAAACTAGAAATATATTTGAGATTCAAGCCAATAGGTGATTTGTTTAAACTAGTCCCAATTTGCCAAGGTATTATGCTTTCCTCCAACACAGGCCAGGAACTTTTGATAACATAATCTGTTGCAGATAAAAGGAAAATGACCAACGATGTGGTTCTATCTATAAAGTCTGTTCAATTCAGCAAACATCTCTGGGGGCAGCCAGTATATGCAGCATCTCAGCAAGACATAAACATTTCCATTTACATCTCTGTATAATTGTTTTTCATAATGATCATATGCTCATTCCATCCAAGTTAAGATGTTTTATAGAAGACAAAGTATTCCAAAATGCTGATGTGAATGAGCCAGGAAGTCACAGGCATTATACATTCTAAATATTCTATAGATTTCTTCTAACTCTAACGTTCTAGGGTGGTACAGCATATGATCACTCTAGGCAACAGCAAGATGGGACATTCACATGCAGTTTCTACACTAAGATATTGGAAGGAGGAGGGGGAACCCCCACATGCGAATGAGAAACGTAAGAGGTAGAAGGAAAAATCAACTGAGAAATGATGGAACTTTGGAGAAGATGACCACAAAAGGACTTTCCAGGCATTATCTTTCATGGCTGATAACAACTGTTAATATTCATCAAATACTTATATCTGCCAGGTACTGTTATAAAGTTTTGTATATCTTAAAACCTTTCATCTTCCCCTAAGGTAGATGTTATTGTGCCCATTTTACAGATGAGCAAAATAAAGTACAGAAAATTTAATGTCACAGTGAATATAAGGCAAAGTTGGGGTTTGAACTCAGTCAGGTTCCAGAGCCCATGCTCTTCTCCATGATGGTACATGATTTCCTTCACTCAGAGGAATAAGAGGGTAGGGCTTTGGTCAATATTTCTCTTTACAAGACATGGTAGCTTCCCCTGACTTAGATCATGTGTATATTCTACCTGGAAGTATATGTCAAATCTTTGCCTGAAAGGATTACACAAGGAGAGAAACAAAGATCATAATTTCATTCATTTGTTCCTTCCCCTACTCTTTAGATAAGATCTTACTGAGAGATACTTTGTCCTAATGCCAGTGCCAGATTCTAGGGTTTCAAAGCTGTGTTCAGCAACTTACCCTTTTGGCCAATGGGTACTTTATTTTTTGGTAGCAAAACTGATTGTAATTTCTTTCTCTACTCTGAAAATCTTATGTAGAACTCTGAAACACAAATTAGGTAAAAGTGAAGAGGGGGTCTTCTAGTAGCGGCTCACTCACTCACTGTTTGACAAGAACGCTTCCTTGTTCGTAGAATTCCCAAACAAGGCAGTGGAGCCCTGGAGTTGGTAAATGTCGGACTGGACAGTGGGATGCAGTGAATAGAACAATGAAGGAGGAACTAGAAAACTGAATTAGCTTGATATGGGAACATTTCCATCGCCCTGGGCCTTACTTTCTTCATTTTACAGAAAAGAGGTGTGGGTGACTAGAAATTCTCTAATGCCTTAGATATGATATTCCTCCGTTGTATGGAATCAGTGCTGGTTGCCTTCAGGAAGGAATGTTCTTTTGGGTCCCTACTTTCTGGGGAAGTGTCAATGAAAGAAATCTTCTGTGGAATGGCAGAGGGAAACCCCGTTATAGCCCTTACTCACTGCCTCTCCATCTCTCAAACTCTCTGCTTCTCAGTTACACTCCTAGACTAATTATGTTGTAGAATCCACTGAGGAATTCAATACAACCCTAATTTCTCCTAACAACACAGCAATTTCAAGCAGGTGCTAGGTGGTTAAAAAAAAGAAAGGAGCACAGAAACTCACACCAGATGTAGCCCATATAAATACTACCACACAGGTGTTGGGAGGGGAATAAGTTTTCCAAATTATGCAAATAAGTCTCTTTTCTTGACAACTCAACTTTTTAGAACAGCCATACGCATTTCTTCAGGGATTTTTATTAATTTTAAAATATCAGTTTGTCATGTGTGTGAGTTAGTTCCTGCAATTATATCTTCAAACTTTTCTTAAATTCTGAAGGCCAAGAGAATTAAAGATTTGGCCATGATTTGTTCTCCCAAAACATAAAGAGTGAAAAAAGATGACTGAATTGCATCACAAAGATAATGTAAAACCACCCCTTCAACGCCAGCTTCATACTCTCCGCCCACTCAATCCTATCACCACACCCATTAATGAAAATAGCATTTGAGTCCGGTTTCTCCTTCTTTATGATGTTCCCTTCTTTGATGGACTCTAATGAGTTACGGCTCAAAAAACAAGCAGCCCCGGGGTAAGAGATAAGAGAACAGAGAAGCACCGATTATCGACACAGAGCCTTGGACTTTCAAGGTTGGCTATTTGACAAAGAGGCAGTGTTAATATTTACTGAAAACACAAAGGGAGATGCTTTTCTTTACTTGTCATCTGTGGAGAATCTTTTACACATTGGCATCCTAGGGTAATATTATGGACTTCGAAAAGTTTAATCAAAGGGGTTTTAAACACTTTCTCCTTTGCATACCATCACATCAGTGAAGCATTTGAAAATAATCACTGCCAAAGTGTTCACAAACCTATAGCAACTAAAACATGGTGAGTTCCCAAACCATCACATAAAGGTTACATAATTCTAACAGCAAATGGAACAAAGTACATCTAGGAATTGTGGCTGTAAAACAAGATCCATTACATAAACCACTACAACCCATCTTTATAATATTGCCACTTGTCATCAGTCAGCCCTCCACAAAGGGATGCAAACATTTTGAGCTTGAGCAAACCCAATGGCAACCATGGCAGCAAATTAGAATCACTTAGAAAACTTTAAAAGAATTTTTTGAGGATGGGGACCAGGTATTGTCATTTGTTTTTAGAAGTTCTAGGTGATGCTAATGTGCAGCTAAGGTTGAGAACCATTGTTTAAAGAAGCTGGTGGTGCTGTGGCTATGATATTATCAAAGATCAAAAATATTAACCACTTTCTGCTTTTAAAGGATATGTTTACACCAACCAAATGATCATAGCATCAGATTTGATGAATGAGACTCATGCTAAGGGTAACCATACGTCCAATTTGTCCAAGATCATCTTGCTTAATGCCTGTTGTTTCAGTGTAATTATTAACAGCACTCCTTTTCATTTTCACAAATGTGTGATTTAGATGATAATTTATATATCAAGCTATCTATGAAACACCCCAAGAAAACTGGTCACAAACCTGAACTTGGCTCCTGATTTTGCTTCCCCCTCATCTGCTGGCATCCCAGTGGTCCTCAAGATGTTCTTCTCTACCCAATACCCAAAATTGGAAACCACCTGCAGTTGACCTCTTTTTGGCTACTTTTGCAACTCAAGCCAGTCTTTCCTTTTGACCCTCTTCCATACTATCTTCCCCCAAATTTAGCATCTATCTCAGTGATTTTCAACCTCTATCAGAGTGGTTCTTAAGCTACGTATTAGAAACTCCTGGGGGAGGGGTTAAATATTCAATCATTCAGGCCAATAAAAGTGGAATCTCTGGGGGTAAAACTCAGGCATCAGTATTTTTTTAAAGATGATTTAGGTGTATAGTCAAATTTGAGAACCAATACTGTTCACATGATTCCAAAAAGCAGCTAGTGTTGCCAACCACTGAACCCTGTCCAATCTAGATTACACTCCATGAATCTGCTGATGTCCAAACCTTACATCAAAAGACAAAATTTGTGTCAGATGCTAATGGGAAAAGATGCACAGAGAAGCACTGACGCTGCCTAAAGAAATTGTAATGATTCTGATCCAGTAGAACCTAGTCCAGAAACTAATTAAAATAGAAAACATCAATGCAAATCCATCCACAGAATGACCCATCATCCACTAGTCTACCCTTCCTCACTCAGCACTTATTTCCTCATTCCTTTCCTTTTTCTCAAGCAGAACACCTTCTCCTGGGTTCCATCTTTCTCTCATGTACATAGAATTATGACATATCCAACATCATCATTTAGACAAGCGAAGGCACTTGGGTCTTTAAAGTCAGCCCTTCTGTGTCTATACAGCTATGTTAGCATATCACATAACAAAGCATGATACCAAATGCCTCAGAAGTTAAGTTTGGGAAATAAAGATGGTCATAATAAAGACCCACTCCACCAGACTTTGTAGTTTCTGAGGCTACAGACTTAAAAAAGTAAAAGTTACAGTGATAACTTTTTAGGAACAGTTTAGATATTAACTGAGGATTACAGAATCCAAATAGAAAAGGACCAAGATTCGAAGATATGAAGAATCAAAAACTAATTGAGCTCATTTTAATTATGGCTATAAAACAAAGAAATGGCAGGATCTGAAATGGGAAACAGTTGAAACAAAGTCTGCATATTCCCCAGCATTTCCTGTCCCAGGGCTGGATGATACATTAAGAGAATTAAGACATCTGAAAATTATATTTACTTCACTTTATTGAAGGCTTGAGAGTCTGCACACATTTTTGGGGGGGGTTCCTTTTTTTTTTAATTTTGAGTTCAGTTAATTAACAATATAGTGTATTATTAGTTTTAGAGTTCAGTGATTCATCAGTTGCATACAACACCCGTGCTCATCCCATCACGTGCCCTCCTTCATGCCCACCACCCAGTCACCCCATCTCCCCCCACCTCCCCTCCAGCAAGCCTGTTTCTTTCCTATGCTTAAGAAGTCTCTTATGGTTTGTCTCCCTCTCTGGTTTCATCTTGTTTTATTCCTCCCAGGTTTTTGGGTTTTTTTTAACTAACCAGAATCATGTTGTATGTATTGTTCATGTGCTTTTTGGAGATGTTCTCAGCCTAGCACACTCCTTTTATCCATTCTGTATTCCACAGAAATAGATGTTTGGGTTGCTTCATTCTGCTGTTATAATTATTCCCACTTTTGTGCACAAACTTGGGCACAGGGGCTGAAATTTGAGGGGAACAGTGTCAATTTGAGCCCTTGGCAATCTGAGGTGAAGGCGTGTTGACTTGGCATTTAGCAGGTGGCAGGCCATGCACGCTGACTCAGGCAGGAGGGCAGCTGGACCATGAATTTGGGACTCACAGGCCGATGGCATCGTGTGTGACAGGGACATGGCTGGTTTTGCTTTTAATTTTTGTTTTTCTGGGAAACTTGATCTCTCCCTCTATTCTAAACGAAAGTCTTGCTGGATAGAGTATTCTTGGCTGTAGGTTTTTTCCTTTTAGCAGTTGGAATCTATCATGACACTTTCTTCTGGCCTGCAGAGTTTCTGCTGAAAAACCCACTGAGAGCCGTATGGGGTTTCCTTTGTATGTACCTGCTTTCCTTTCTCTTGCTGCTTTTAAAATTCTCTCTTTCTCACTACTTTTGGCCGTCTTATTTACTTTGTGTCTTGGTGCAGACCCCTTTGGGTTGGTTTTGTTGGGGGCTCTCTGTGCCTCCTGGATCTGGATTTCTCTTTCCTTCCCCAGATTCAGGAAGTTTTCAGCTATTATTTCTTCAGACAAATCTTCTGCCCCCTTTCCTCGCTCTTCTCCTTCTGGGATCCCTATCATGCAACTGTTAGGCCTGACAGCGTTGCTCAGTTCCCTGGGTCTATTTTCATTTTGCGTATTTTTCCCCCCTCTCATCTGCTCGGCTTGATTGCTTTCCATGACTCTGTCCTCCAGGTGGCTGGTCCTTTCTCCTACTTCCTCTTCCTTGC